TTATGGAATTTCAGTTGATGAAGCAGAAGATGAAGAAGATGAACCTAGACGTAGCAAGAGAGCACGCAAGGAAAAATCTTTTGGTGATGATTTCTTAATGGTATTTCTCACAGAGAATGAGCCGAGATCATACACAAAAGCCATGTCTACACCTGATGCATCTTTCTGGAAAGAAGCAGTTAATAGTGAAATTGATTCTATAATGCAGAATCATACTTATGAGATCACTGATTTACCTCAAGATTTCAAAGCGCTAGGGTGTAGATGGATATTCAAAACCAAGTTGAAAACTGATGGTTCAATTGAGAAGTACAAGGCCAGACTTGTGGTTCAAGGATTCAGACAAAAAGAAGGTCTAGATTTCTTCGATACTTATTCTCCAGTAACGAGAATAACTTCAATAAGAATTCTGATAGGAGTTGCAGCCCTAAGAGGACTCGAAATCCATCAGATGGATGTAAAAACGGCCTTTCTAAACGGTGATCTAGAAGAGGAGATTTACATGAAGCAACCCGAAGGATTTGTGGTCCCAGGTCAAGAACACAAAGTCTGTAGACTTGTGAATTCATTGTATGGTCTGAAACAAGCTCCAAAGCAATAGCATGAAAAGTTTGACAATGTAATGATGTCAAATGGTTTCAGCATAAATGAGTGTGATAAGTGCATCTACATCAAAAGTACTCCTCACGGGTATATCTTTTTGTGTTTATACGTTGATGACATGCTCATCATGGGAAGTAACAATGATATCATCCAACAAACCAAGACAATGCTTAGTGGTCAGTTTGACATGAAAGACATGGGTCTTTCGGATGTTATCCTTGGCATAAAGATTACGCGCACCTCTGAAGGCATCACTTTGTCTCAAGGTCATTATGCTGAAAAGATTCTTGAGAGGTTCAAGGCCTACTCAAACGGAACTGCGAAGACTCCCGTGGATTCGCAACTACACTTGACAAAGAACTCCGGTGAAGCTGTTTCACAAGTGGAATATGCAAGGGTCATTGGCAGTCTAATGTACATAACCAATTGTACACGACCAGACCTTGTGCATGCTGTCAACGTGTTAAGTCGTTACACAAGTAATCCAGGTCATACACACTAGAAAGCCATAACAAGGGTATTAAATTATTTGCGATACACCAAGAGTTATGGGCTACACTACAGTAAAGAACCTGCATCTTTGGAAGGATACAGTGATGCAAACTGGATATCAGACTCAAAGAATTCGAAATCCACAAGTGGATACGTCTTTACTCTAGGAGGTGCAGCAGTATCTTGGAAATCTTCCAAACAAACTCTGTTAGCAAGATCCACAATGGAATCTGAGTTCATAGCGCTAGACAAGGCAGCAGAGGAAGCAGAATGGCTACGGAATTTCCTTGAAGACATCCCCATGTGGGAGAAACCAGTGCCAGCATTACGAGTGCATTGTGATAGTCAATCAGCAATAGCTCGGGCATTGAGTAACCTATACAATGGTAAGTCTCACCACATCAGAAGGTGACATAAGACCATTATACATTTGATCTCAACGGGTGTAATCTCGGTCGATTACATCAAGTCAGCTGACAACCTTGCAGATCCGTTCACTAAAGGTTTAAATAGAGATCAAGTTTTGAAATCATCAAAGGGAATGGGTTTATTGCCTATGACTAAAGAGGATGTTTGATGGAAACCCCACTTATGTGATTGGAGATCCCAAGATCTAAGTTCAAAAGGACAACCAAATCGAACAGAGTCTGATGAAAGCACTGAAAGACATAACGTCTGTGCCCATCTCCCAAAACGATGTACAGTGCTCCCTATAAGTATTATAGGATAAGTTTTATACTTTTAATGATTTTGAGTAGCTTTCATAATATAGAGTATAACAGGATACTTGTGTATATGTCAGGAGCTCAAAGAAATCACCTAGTGAGTGTGAAATGCGGCCGTTTCTAGGAGGATGAAGACAAGGCTATATCTCCAAGTTCACTCATGACAACCAGGCAAGTTCACGGCCAAAATGAACACAATAGAGAACTTAGTTCTACGAGAAGATGAGACTGGGTTGTACCTGTTGTCTAAGTTTACATAAAAATCCGGACGGTTCAAGACATCATGTTTACCTCCTGGCCAAGTAAACTCGACAGATATCAACAATGAATAGTTCAAGGCTGAAATATGCTACTATATCATACACAATTAATTTTTCGCCTATACTCTCGAAAAGTCCTAGTGTCAAGTCTTAATGTGTCTGCATAGTCTTTCGAGTTAGTAGAGTCTGCATATGTTTTAGAGTTATTTCTATTCATGTGGGGGATTGTTGGAACTCAGTTTTTGACAAATGGCTCAGGCCAGTTTTCCGGCGACATTTCCGGTGAGCACAGTTACTGAAATGACCGGATTATGGATTCTTTGGATTCCTTGTAATGAGTGCTATAAGATAATGTATTCACTTATCAAAAACGAAGTTGATTTGAATGAGTAATCTTTGGTCAAAGTGGGCATGTAATCAAGACAAAAAGTCAACAAATGTCAAGATGAGCATTTTGTCCCACATCGAAAGTTGGAAGAATTTTCCACTAGTATATATTGTGACACACTCTCAACAAGGTTCACTAGCCTTTAGAAGAGGACACTATGGAGAAGGAGAGAAGGGGCTGTTATGCAAAACCACACACACACACGCGCGTCGTGCCGTGCCGAGCCGGGCTCAGGCTTGGGTCTTGGTGAAACAAGATGTTTTTTTTTCTGAGTAAATATTTATTAACTTATTTTCACAAATATGTTAATATTCCTTAAAGATAATTTGCATAACTCGATAAATCTTTATGGTTGGGTCGAAAATTAATAACAGAATATTTCTATAATATATCTGTTTCGCCCAGATCCTTATCAGAAAGGAATAAAAGATTTCCAGAATATTTCCGTTTCTATTATTCTTTGCGATCAAGGAATAGAAGATTTTTGGAATATTTCTGTTTATCTATAAGTGGCGGCCAAGACAAACCCTTGTGCCCCAATCCTTCTATCCGCTATATATACTCGCCTCTCTCATTCATTATTCTTCATCAGCGAAAACTTATAGCTTTCCAAAACACAAATATCCAGCAAATCCCTCTCGTCTCTACAGTCTTAGGTGAGTCTCGAGAGTATAGCATAGAATATTCAGTTCGCAGATTCTATAGTCGGGTGCTGCGACTTTAGTCTCAACACGGTTGTATCATGGGATTCTGAATCTCTTCAAACTGCCACACTACGGGAGATTTAAAGAATTAAGGAAAGAGATCATATCTCGACTCCATGTATCGTCTTTCCTTAAAGGTTTTATTAAAACGTTTTATAAATTTTTATCGTTTATTATTGATTTCAATCGTTCTTTGATTCGTGATTTTCAATCTGGATTTTCGCAGTCCTACACAAGGTGGAGGCGAAATGGGTCTTACAAGTGGTATCAAACCGTACCCAGAAGAGAGTGTGAAGTCACAAAGGTTTATACCATCGGGAGTAACGGTTCTAGTGCGCAGCTGAGTCAGTGTGGTGAATTGTAACATTCCGATTTCATGAATATGAATCTATATGTAAAGGTTTAAGGGAATTGATTTGGCTATCTATATCACCAAAATACATTTATCTTTTCGATCATTGGTATCGAGAGAATTCAAAGGTTAAACATACTTAAGTTCGAGTAGCATTAGAATAGAGGTGATCTATATCGTGTGAGTGATGACAAAACATAGGAAAAATCGTGTGGTGAATACAAAATTAGCATTTCATGACTTTCGAGTCTTTCAACTAATATATCGGTCGTCGAATAGAGGTGAAATCTATAAACCCGAAAAAGACACTAATAGGAACGGTCAGAGTGTTACAGAAATTCAATGGAAATCAGATATTTCAAATACACTAGAGAAGGCGATGAAGAAGAGATTTTGCCACACGGCAGAAACATTCGGACATAAGGAAGACATGAAAGGCAATAAATATGGGCCCTTATACGCAAATGTTTAAACTTTAAACCAATAAAGGAATTAGTAACTTGGGCTTAATAATTTGAACCAGAATCTTTAATTTAGATGTCTTGACTATAAAACGAAAACCATATAAAACCGTCTGTAATTCGATTTGGTTCGATTCAGTTTCTAAGGTGGTGGTTGTTTGGCCCATCCCTGAAATCTAACTATACATTAAAGAGGGGACATTTTGGCCAAATTTGCTTACGTGTCGTGCTCACAAATTTTCAAAATATTTTTACATTTTTTATTAATATATTAAACCCCCGACTCAAAACCCGTAAACGCGGATCCTGTTCTATTACTAAACGCCCAAATTGTACCGGCTACATCAGTTATATCGGTTACTAAATACTAGCCTTCTATTAACCTGTAAAAGAAGGAAATTATTCAATTACAAAATTAAAAATATCCCTACAATATCTGTAACATATATATAAAATTTGCGTTAACTTTTAATTAACGAATTTGTTACCGTATCCCAAACAAAACTGAAATCTGTTATCATTTTTTGCTCTAACCAGATCATCAAATATTCTTAGTGTAATTTTAGCATATTCTATTAACACAATCACTTATATTATTAATTCTCTCGAATCTGAAATAGTATATTCATCATACCAAACTTCTAAATCTAAATCTTATTAACATTTTAAAAGATTTCCTAATATTTACTATTAACCTACTAATGCTTCACAGAGTTCTATTATATATATATATATATCTTCCCTTACCTAATTTCTATCATAGTCACTAAAATCCTTGCACTTTTACCGTAAAATGGCTGCTATAACTCACCTTTCTGATTTGAAGCCATTCAAAAGTCAGTGGAGAGTTCACGTCAAAATTCTGAAACTGTGAAAACAGTTTCTCAATGGTGTTGCTACGTTGGAAATGGTGATTGTCGATGAAAAGGTGCCTGCAAAATGAATTATAGCCGTGTTGTTATATTAATTTTAACTTACATGATTCAGTATTTTTTTTAACTTTTGATTTTAACAGAATCAAACTATGCATGCCTCTGTGAAAAAAGACTCCATAAAAAAGTATGAAAATCTTCTTGAAGAAGGTTTATATAAGATCATCACAAACTTCTCAGTTACCCACAATGGTGGTAAGTTCCGAACCTTATCTCATGTTTACAAAATCCAATTTGCGGATACTACATCTGTGAGGCCTTCATGTACTTGGGTTGAATACAGTCTCCTTCACTGATATTCATGAAGGCAAACAGTATCCAGACTTCTTGATAGGTTTGTCTTTTTCAATAATAATAATCATCTTCTTTAACATAATCTCTTTATATGTCATATGCTTCTTATGCAGACATAGTTGGTCAAATAGTTGAAATCGGGGATGTTGAGATCTTAAACATCAACAGAAAGCAAACCAAGCGACTTACAATGACTCTTCGTGACGATGGATACCATTTTATTATAAATTTATTAGTTATACAGCTTCTCATCTATTTCAATGCGCCACTTTCATTTTATTGATTTGTATTTTAATTTTGTATAGTAATGTGCGTCTGAACTGTGTACTTTGTGGAGAATATGTTGAGCACTTAGAAGGAATTGTGCAAAATTCAAACGATGTAGTCTTCATTTTTCTTTTACGTTAGAGGAAGTTGAGCCTTTATCAAAGTAATATATATTTCAGGTTTGCCATTTTGAAATATATGTATCACCAAATTTCTGAAAATTTTTGTATGTTATTTGGAAGGCAAATGGAGCGTAGGTAATTGTTATAGTGCTTCCATCGTGATGGTGAATCCAGAAATACCGGATATCCTTGCTTTTAGAGATAGGTAAAATGTTTCTTATCATTGTTTTAACTTACTTATTTCTATAAACAAATACCTTTGTTTTAATAATTTTTGTGATCATTTTCAGGTTATCAAATGATGGTTCTGGTCTAAGTTACACACATCCAAATCAGTTGACTGTAGTAAACTCGATTTCTGTTAGAGATGGTTTCTTGCTCCACAGTCAAAGACCGATTATAAGTGAGATTACTTCTGCTTCAAAGGTAATGAATTTAGTTAAATGTGACAATATCTCAGGTTTGGTTTAACTAAAATAAATGTATGGAAATTTTATCGTCCGTCTTGAGAGGTGGCCAAATGTGTTACGATGTGCACTATTATGTCTACTGACACAGAGTTTGGATGGTACTATATGTCACATAAATCATGTGGCAAAAAGGTTCTCCACAATGACATGGATGCAATGAAAGAGAAGTATCCAGGTAAAAAATTTGGAAAACGGTTGTGGAAGTGTGAAAAATGCAATGAAGATGTCGATGAGATCCTCCCTGCGTGTGTATATTTTTATTTGATTTTCTTTGATATGTGAATCTACCATGGTTAATTCTGAAAATTTTACCTAAATTTTTGTAGATTTATGTTGACATGTCGTGTTATAGACAATAGCGGTGAAACAAAATTCCTCCTTTTTGATAAGGAGGCTATTGAAGTTGTTAATCAAACAATGGCTCAGCTTACAGAGGCGGTTGACGAGGTATCAAAAGCAACTCATATATAAACCTATACACTTATTTTGATTCTGCTTATACAATGATATATTACTAACATGACAAGTTCTTTCTACCTATTCCTAACAGGTGCAAGATCCTGATGTACTACCTTTAGCACTAAGTAATATCTGCGGTAAAACCTACCTATTTAAAGTTGCTATTCAAACTTTGAATATAGTCTTCAACAGTCCTACTTACAAAGTGATCAAGATTGTTACTCAAAGTGAAATGGTTAAAGAGTTCTCTGAAATCTTTGCATCTCAGGTAATTAATTACTTTAATTTGGTTTCCACATATTGAATAATTGTCATAATTCAATGGGATATATTTTTTTAGCAAACTCCAAAAATGAAATCAATAACTCGGCATGTCATGCCTATTCTGCCTCTTGACGATAATGTATTAACTAGATTACTAAAATATGAGTTATATTAGATTCATGTTTTGTCTTTTATTCACTATATTATAAAACTTTTATTCACTATATTCTGCAATGGTGTCTAGGTTCCAACATTGCAACTTCAATATCCAGAAGACGAAACTACTCATCCATCTAAACGCAAAAGCAATGACTTTATCGATTTGTCTGACGATGCAAAAAATGGCCATTCGGTTTAAAAAAAGAGTTGTGTGGGCAAGCAAGTAGAATCTCCAGGAATTGATCAAGTAGTTTTCAAGACTATCAAGAAAGAGAAGTGAGCTTCTACCGCATGTGTAATGGGGTTAAAGTGGCATATTACCCAAACTTCATAGTCTTTAAAGTTATTGAATCTTTAGCTTCCCTTTATTTTATTGCTTTGGTATTCCAAAAGCTATTGAGTTTTTTTGTTTTATTTCATTTTGACTGGTCTCATGGATCAACTAAACTCTTTCATTTGATTTCTATTTTATTGTAGCACGATTTTCATGTTTATCAGTCTTTTATTCATCAAGTATTAAATTTTTCTATCAAAGATTATTATTAATGTTCAATTACTAAGTAAAGGATGTGATTACTAACCTTGAAGCTGTCAAACTCTCGAAAACTTCTTTTGTTGAAACTTTAAAGCTGTCAAACTCTTGAAATCTTCTTTTCTTGAAACCGTTATAGTTCATTCCTGAAATAGTTGATGAATAATTAGTTACATGAGAATGAATCCTTCTTTATAGCTTCATTCCCCATTATAAGTATTTCCAGTATAGTTGGTTTAATATATGCCCTTCTATGCTACTTTTATCTTAGCAGATTTTTTGTTACTAACCGTTAAATAAGTGCTCCTTCAACCCGCATAAATAGAAATCAACTGAAACCTTGTACTCCATACCATTTTCCTGCATTACAGACATAGATGTTTAACTATTAAGAGTATAACTAAGAATTATATCCAAATTTATATTATTTGTATATTAATTTTGTATGGTAAAAAAACTTCAGCTTTAATATTTATTAGGAAATAACTAACAAATCTAAACAATCTGATCTGTATAAAAGGGATGAAATCAATAAACGAATATTTCACTAACAGCTTTAGTAACTAATATTTTCATTTCGTCCAAATTAAATATCTATTACTGATCTTACAAATCCTCCTTTTACGAGATTAAGGAATACAGTATATTAACTCTTCAGTAAAACGCCTTAAGCTCATAGTTGAAATTTACTAATAAGGTGTCAAGATCAAAATTGAATGGCAGACATATAGTTTTCCAACGCCTTTTAATCTTTTGCAAACAATATGAAAAACAAAACTACGTTCAAGCCAGGTTATGTCGTTGAGGGAACTGAATTACCAAATAATCTAAGAAAAGAGATGACTAATTCATGTAAGTTACTTCACTTTTGCTTTTTTAATTGCTTGGTAACTCTGTAATTAACTTTAAAATTATCAATCATTTCTTATTAAGCTAACAACATGACAAAGGCAACTACTACTGAACATTCTCAATCAACCGGTTCCAATACTTTTCGTGGAGATTTTGATACAATCTTTCGAGATCTGACGAACACAAATGATTCTCCAACTATTAGATTGCCATATTACAACTTACAGTATCATCCAAATAAGTGACCTATATTTCTAATGCACAAGATTTAGTGTAATTTTATATTAACTCTTCATTTGACAACAGAGAAAGCAAGACATGGTGACAAAGAAAATCTGCCTTTATCAAGATCTACTCAACATATCCACCAACCATTGAAAATATCCGGTTTGCTTTAAAATTATATATATGTTTTCCGAGAATATTTGATTATCACACTGTAAGTTTATTTTACATATTTTAATTTAAAATCGCGTAATATAGCTTCATCAAGTTTGTCAACAAATAAATGTCTGAGGAAAAACCAAGCATCATGCAAAACCAATTTCAGAACCACAAATGATACTTAAATTTCAGATGAAGGAAACTCACTTTTGCCTTTCGATAGACCCCCATTGCATAATACCAGCTCCAAACAGCATATGATACAAGACTTTTTTAGGACTTGATTCAATCACCCAAGCTTGTACTAATCAGTTATAGTATAGCATAGGGTTTTATCAATCCGAAAGGGGAGAATGAAGCAGTAAGAATGCAATAGAGCTCTTAATCCAAGCAAACATAGATAGTTTTAGAAGTCTAGCAACCTAAATGATCAAGAAGTGAAGCAAAAGAAAGCAAGCAAAGAGCAATAAAAGCAATAGGAAACAGAGCAAAAACAGAGTAAAAGCTAAACTAAACAGAGTAAAAGCTAGACTTCAAAGATTAAAAGATGGTTCAAGATCAAGGCAATGGTGATAGGGTGATTCTTGTTCATGTCTAGGGTGATCAAAACAAGCAATTCTAAACACTCAACCTTAGGTAAGGAACACTAATAAAGACTAATTCAATCTCTTGGCATTAATTCCTTTGCTAAATCACATTTCAAACCCACTTTTGGTGGTGTATCTATGACAAGCAAGCATTAAAATCAAGTTCCATAAAACCAATTAGTATGCTAGACATCTAATCTCTTAGGCTAGGTTTACTAATCTCTTATACAATATATCAAACATCAACTCACATTCTCATGCATAATCAATATCTAAAGGGAATTTCTCATCAATCTGGTACTAAGCAATAAGCACATTCAAGCAAGAAATGATAGATGCAAAGACTCATGATTAGCTAAACACCATTTTCAAGCATTGAACTTCATTCAGGAATTTCATCAAACACTTGATGTGCATATGAAAACCTAAAATCAACTTCTCCAACAAAGAGGTACTAAGCATTAAGCACAATCATATAAAAAAGGGAATGAGAAGATCTAAGCCCTAATCAACCTAAACAATCACTAAAATCACCTCATCTACCCTAATCTCAAACCTAAAGCAAACTACTCACTAATCATGGTGAAAATCATCAAATATATGAAGAAAAGATAGTTAATCATGATTAGGGAGACAAAAGATTAAGGAAAATGCAAATTTTTATTGAAATAAGCAAAGATTCAAATCCAAAATTATTCAAAATCTAGAGAAGAAAAGAAGAACTGCTGGATAAAGAGTTGTTCCCAGAAATTAGGGATTTTAAGTATTTATAGGGGTCTCAGCAAAAATGGCAAAATTGTAATAAGTGATCTTCAGTTTGGAATCCTATCGGTCACTCTTTGACCAACAGGGTGGTCAATAGGATGATCGATAGGGGTTGACCGGTTTCACGAAAACTTCTGTAACTTTCTAACCGCTGATGGGAATGACCTGAAACAAATTCCAGACGCAAACTAACTCATGGGGATACAACATTCATGAAGACTGTTGAAGCTGAATCGGGTTGGAGATGCTTTGTCCGAGACGGTTTTATCAGGTGAAGTTTCTGGCCGCTTCAACAAGGTGCACCTTTTTCTTGGCTCTTTTGATGTTTTGTGCTGCACCCACCATCATCTCCCATGCTCCTTGTAGTCTCAAAACTCTCCAAACATACCTGCCAAACTCCTAAAATTCACAAAATCATGCAATGCTCACTCTAAATCTACATTAAGTCCTAATTGAATGCAAATGAGATAAAAACAAGCAAAAATGAATGTTTAAAGACTATAAAACAATGCAGAATGTATGCTAATATGTTAATAATGAGTATATCAACACCCTCACACTTGCCTTTTGCTTGTCTTCAAGCAAACAAGAACAAATGGGAGAGTGAGGTTTGAAAGTGGGAGCTCAAAACTAAAGATATCAATCAAAAACTGATTCAATGCCCAATCAAAAACTTTAGCTATACCTATTATAGCAAACAATGAACTCTAGCTTAGCCTACACAAGCATTCAAATCAACCAAATCTTTAACATTCATTAATAGTAGCCAATGGATCAAGTTTGTGCAAATCAAGAGAAAACATTTGGTCAAGGGACATGGTTATGAGATGAAAATGATCTCATTCAAATAAGGGTTCAAAGATTCAGAGGATCACTCAATGAAATGATTCTAACTTAGGCAAAATGCTAAAGGTAAAAGCACACCTATTCATGCAAGTCAAAGCTCTCTTCTACCCTTTTTACCCAAGATGAACCTAATAACTTCTAAAACCCCAAGTGGAACTCCTAAATCTACCCTTTCCCAAAGCACTTGATCTCTTCCTTCTTCATATTTGGGGGAAACTCCTTTTACTTATGTGGTTGACTTCTTTTTGGAACTTGCTCTTCTTTTTTGTATGATTGATGCCATTTTCATCACCTTTGGTGGATTGCTTGGTCTGATTTCTCCTTTTGGATGACCTTTTGTAAGCTTTGTTGTTGTTGGCACCTTTCTTCTTTAACATTTAGAGCTTTCTTCCTAATTAACTTAACCACAAAATGAACTGTTCCCCCATACTACCAACCCCATACTTCTTCTTCTTCTTCTTCTTCTCAAAAGATGTAAACATTTAAAGCTCAAACCACTTAAACTACCCTTTCCCAAACTCCTAACCTAATATCAAGCTTAAAATGAAAGTTGGTGTCTACATGAGAGCTTCTCCTTGCCAGCCTTATTCCTAATACTTTTTGCCAAGATAAGATCAAAAATGATGCAATGCAAGGCCTCGCAACTCTCACAATAGTGTTTAGGTTCAGAAAGAAGGATTGGTTTAGGGTGTGGTTAACTGTCCCATAATGATGAGGATCAGCTACTTGGATTAACAAGAGTGGTAAGAAGGGAAGAAGATAATTCAAGTATGTATATGGGTAGCCATGTAATCACTCTTAATGCACAAACAAGATAATTCAAAGTCAGGATTATGGTTCTAATAAGATAAGAGTTGGAATCAAAACAAAGCAAGCTTGAGCATAAGACAAGAATATCAATGCAAGAATTCAAGATATAGTGCAGCCTTAACTTCAAACTCACTACAATGCAATCAAACAACAGATAACCAAGGCATTGAAAAAAATTCAAACATTTACATCTTGACAAGTGTT